TCTCTCTCTCTCTCTCTCTCTCTCTCTCTCTCTCTCTCTCTCTCTCTCTGTCTTAATCAAGTAGGGTTTCAGTGGATCTAAAGATCTTTATTGTTAGTAAAAGTGACTGTCATTTCCTTAAACCAACCTCCATGAAACTGGCACTTCCCTTTTTTCATCTATTTTAAGAACAGGGGCTGTCTGTTTTTGTGAAACATTAGTGACTCTAGTAGGATAACACTGGGTAGCACCATATTAAGGTTGCAACCTTTTGCTGCAAGAAAAGAACAGAAAACCAAGAGCGCTAATCCACCTAATATACTGTAGTGAAAAGTGAGTGATATTCCTCACAGGCCTTTGATATGAAGTTAGCTTATGGGCTATGGTAAATAACATCATGACGGCCAGCTAATTATTAAGAAGGTTTTAGCATTTTATTAGCAGCAAGCTCACTGAATTGGATAGTCTTTGATTTTTCTCTAAGTGGTCCTAAAATTCCTAATTTTAAACTTCCTAATCTTTTAATCTTTTAAGATTTATGTCAAGCAGATGTTCACATATCAACACTGACAGGTTTATTGAGGAGCCTGGGAGGAAGTTTTTCATTCTAAACTCAGCTGACCTCAAATATTACAGACTTAGAATTTAAAACTTTAATCCACGGGGAGTCTGCAGAAAGTCATATAATAAAAATCAGCGAGTGTCTTTCTGAATCATTAATCCTTTGGGTTGCTGGAGTAAGAAGCAGTACCACTGTCGGCTCTTTGGATCACAGCATCTTAAACTGCTTCACTTATTTGAATGATACATTTTATCTCTTGCTCAGAGGTTGCACATGCAAAAATAATTTGGCGCTCTTGTCACTGGAGTTCTTATCAGAAGTGAGAAATGGTGATGACACAGTTTAACACGTTAAGACTGCAGCAAGTGAATTCACACGATGATTTGTTTTGTTTTTTTAGACAGCAAGGTTTTCTGTTGGGTTAATTTAGAACACCACACTCTCTGTGTTGTCCTAATCTGCACCCAGGACTAAATTTGTTCATTGTTAACACCAGTCACACAGGTCATTTCCTGTTTCTCACCGGTACAATGTCATGTCGTGACTTTCCGATTTCTTAAACCCTTTTTTGGTCTCTGAAACTAACCAAATGAGCTAAGACTCGCACTTAGCTAATAGCTAGTGATGTTTTGTAGAATTGAGGCCACATAAAACACAGGGATACAGCACAATATATACAACAGACTATTGTTACAGCAGCTTTAATTGATGCGTCTATTTTAATGTGAAAGGAGTCATCGATTTGGATGAAGGGTGCCCATTAGCTTATTGTTTTTGCTTTGTCAAAAGTTGAATCCTGACTTTACAGTGATTATCGTGGGTATTTTGTTTTTTGTCCACAGCAGGCAAACAATTAGAGCTGATGGGGAAATAAAAAAGCTTAACAGCGAAAAGATAGATAGAGGTAAGACGGGAATAAAGACGAGACTACTTGGCATTCGGCTGTAAATGAGTGCTTATACTCAGAGCTAGTAAATGTATTCAGACTGGGTGGGACAGATTTGTGGTGTGTTGTGCTTTCCTTTGTCTTCAGCCAGGGAAAAGTATTGAGCTGCTGTTATTAACTACCCTATCCAGTTCTTTGAGCTATTTGTACCAGACAGACTGGTACGAGGTTCTAAACAGTAAATGTTGTTTTGTTTTTTCTCTCCTTTATTTACAGGGAACAAGTAGAAGAAATGCTGTATTATTTAAATTGTGGGTTGAGCAGTCAAACAAACACAGCTTCAGTAAAATAGTTCAGTAAAAGAAACTTTTAGAGGCTCTTTGTTCTTCTTCTTTTTTTTTTTTTTTTAAATAAAGCAGCTGTGCCCACACTTTGCTGACTAAGACTGTTCTTCGAGTGCTGCTTTTCTGCCGCCGGCTCCATCCTCATGCATAAAAACCTACACTTACTTTCTATTTCACTTCTCCATCGGTCCCAACCATAACCCCTTCCTCATTTTTTTTCCTCTATCTACCGCCACCATGTTTGTCTTCAGCATCCCCATCACCTCAGATAACCGCCTTAGCATGCTTACATAAAGAGCTGCAGCGTCTCCGGGTGCTGCGCTTCAAGCAAGCTATTTACATTTCAAAAGTTGACTTTGAAAATGGTTTTCCCTGCCTTCCTCCTGTGGTGCTTTATGTGTGGAGACTGATCTAATCCCAGAGATAAAAGACTATTGGATCTGAACAGGAAAACAATGCTTATGCTGTCACTCTCACTTCTGTATTACATGGCCTGTAGTGGTAACGGTCGCCTCTGTAGTTCTTTGTGGTTTGGGTTTCTGCTATTTATGCAAAGATTAAATGTGAAGATTAGTTTCTTAGATTTTTCAAATATGATGGCACCTAAATATATTTGACTAGGGGAAAAAGCCATGTAAATATTTTACCTTAAATGTATTTTGTGGAGTTGGAGAAAGCTGGGAAGTAGTTTGGGAATATGTAGTATTGGTCTGTTGTTGCAGGTTGCTTTGGTGCAACCATAGTGAGACCTTGGTTTACATTGCAGGTTATTAGCTAGTGTCGAAGTGGGTTTCAGACTTTGCCCAGGGCTGGGCTTTTGTCACTGATTTTGGTGGTCTCCGGGTCATGTTTGTGCTTTTTCCAGATGATGTGATCCCATTGACCTCATTGAGCATCAGGGTGTTTTGCAGCTGAGGGTGAATTGGCTAGGATGAAATCTGAGGCCATGGCTCACTTTCCAAACAGCTGAAAGGAGGAATTTGTGGATTAAAAATGGTGCAAAACGAGTTCATTCTTAAGGTCATTCAAGCTCACTTTTACAGATCTGGTGAGGATCTCGGTCATTTGGGAGTGGCTCAGAATAGAGCTGCTTGTCTTCTCTGAAAGGAACCAGTTAAGATGGTTTGCACATCTAATTGGAACACCTAAATGGCTTTTAGGTGAGGGTTTTGTGCTGTGTCAAACTGGGAGGAAGTGGTGGAGAGATTATGTCTATCCAGACTCCTCCGTATGCAGGGTGGGAGGTCAGGGCACTTTTGGTTTAGAGTGCCGCCTCTGTGACTCAGAAGTTGCAGAAAATGAATGGATCGAAGGTTCTGGGAATTTTTTTCTGATAAAATGACTGACATATAAGCAGTGGCCCGGTTTTCGATTAAGGGTTAAGAGAATAAAAAATGAGAAATGCCCATTTAACTTCCCAAAGCTCAAGTTTGAATATTCAGAGTTCTTCTTGTGCCTAAACCAGTAGTCGAAATTTCAGTAAATCTTTTCTGTACATTTCTTACTTTTTTCTGTCTTTAAAAAGATTTAATTCAGTTGAAAGAGCTTTTTCTGTTTCATTTTCTCTGAAATACACAGGTTTTTTTGTAACGAATAGTAATACAGTTTTCAGTACAAGAAAAATCCCTGAAAGTCTGGCTTTTTATGGATCTTGCTAATAATGCATTTGAAAGCTTTTCCTGTATTTGCCAAGATCATTTCAAATGCAACCCATACTTCACCGTTCTTTTTGCCTGGAGCTGCTCTTTTCCACCTCCTTCTGCAAGCAGCGTCAGCTTCCTGCTTCCTGCTCAGCTGATAGGCTGCAGGGCCAGTTGCTGAGTCACATGGAGCGATCAGAGCTGCTGCCCTTCCTCAGTCTGTCTCGTCTCAACGTATTTTTCACCTCATTGTTTCCTCTTCTTTAAGTAAAATGTGAAATCTGCTCAGGGCAAGTCTGCAGTCTCCCTTTGACACCATAGCAGCTTTTCTACTGAGGTAGGCTCGGTCGGTTCAACTCACTGTGTCACTGCACCGTCAAAGATAAGACCAATGTTGGCTCATTCACACCCACGGGTTTTCTTTCTGTATTTTTCAATGGAACATACTTTAAAATGTAACTTTATTCAGTGTTTCTGTAATTATTCAGCTGAGACCGTCCCGTTTCAGTCGTGTGTGCTTGCAGAGATTTATTAGGCAGCTCACTACAAGTGCTGCCAAAGCGCTCAGTCATAATCCTCTTATGT